GAGCAGTAAATTCATGGCGAGACGTTTTAATTAGCAGAAGCGTAATCGGGTGAACGGATCAAAATGAACAGCGCGTTTTCCATGCTCATCATATGCAGGATCAGCATCGTTATGGCCACCCAGACGCCTTCCTTACACTAATGAAGTGTGAGACTAGCGCACTCGTGGCCCACTCATGGTAATGGTTGTAAGGCATCCGTGCCTCGCGATTGGTAATGTGAGGCCGAGGCACTCGTGCTTCGTGAAGTTAGGCACTCGTTCCCTAACCTGGTATGCGGGTATAGGGGAGCGATGGGTGATCGCCTCCGGTGCTTTATCTCATGTTAAAATACGACGTCTTATTTGCGAAAGTCAACTATAGGTTTGTACGAGACTCGTGTAAAAGCAGTCCAATACAAATGAATAGTTGACAATGACAATGTGCTAGGGAGGTGTCTGAAATATAATGTTGAAACACTTTGATTTCTCTGGCTCTCTCCGGCTCTCTCTTCCTCTCACGCTCTCACATACACACATTCAGTCAGAAGCGCTGCAAAAAAGTAACAGAGCGCGTTACCCGGATTCCACAGCAAGCGAGTTCAGAGGCAAAGAGGACAGCATGCGCCTAGAGCCACTCCAACACATACTGTCTATCCCCACCCCCCTTACCCCTTTTCTCTCTCTCTCTTTCTCTCACACACACATTCTCTTCCTCTCTAGTCCGAACACTCATGAAGGTCACCGTTGCGGAAATGATAGCGTTGTCGTGCCGTTCAAGTACTTTACCCACACTGCACAGCAAAGTGCCTCGCATACCAACAGATAAAATGAAAAGAATGTAATCACACATACAACAAAAATCATCCAGCTAGGTCAACTGTGCGCCTATCCTTTAAGTGAATAAAATAAAAGCTATGAAAGGTTTCACTGGGCGTGCTGGCGTCAGGTGCGCCAGCCGAGGTCATCTTGGTGCTCTGCAGCGCGGAGGTGCGTGGCGCGGCCGCGCGGCGCCACACACGGTAATGGAAATTCCCCTACGGCTTTGTGTGTGCGAGAGCGCGCGGGCGCGCGTACAGCAGCGCACAGCAGCCGCACCGACATTTTCATCACCAACTTACTCCTCAACTACCCAACAGAAACCATACACACGCGGAAATAGAGAATGCACGCCTAAGCATTGCATATATTTAATAAAGCGCTATCGTAGAGTCGTGCGCTAAGCGGAAAATTAGAACGACGATATTGAACAGTTTGCTGTTTAAAGACATTGGGACATTATTGTACTTTTAGAATGTACAGTTTTCTTTTTTTAACAGGAAATGTAGTTTCTCCACCAAACTGTTAATTTATACCACGGATGGTTGATAGTTGTCTTTTACGATCAGTAGCATCTTCGCTGATACGAGTGTAACGAGATCATTTCCGATGCAAAGCCAGTAAGTGGTACCTGTGGTAACGTCTCATATCGCCGCAGCGACACACTCGCGCGCACTCACACCCACCCACGCGCGCGCTGTGCGGAGGTGTGAGGCCCCTCCCCTACTCCTCTCCTGTCGTTCTTTATGCGTTCCGTGCCGTTCCTCCGCCATTCTCCCGACGTACGTGACGCAATCACGGGCAGCGCCTATTTCCCACCAAGCGAGACATTCACAATGTCTTTGAGTCTATACTTTCTTTGGCGCCAAATGGTTTTCTGTTCGGCACAGGACTGCTCCGTACCTCCCACGCTACTGGAGGAGGACCCCCCACAGAGCGCGGGCGCACCGAAGACGTGGGGCATCTGGCTCAAAACGAGTAAAACCAGCCGGTGCAGCTGCCCTGACGCCTTACGGGTAGCGCGTAGGCAGACCCGCTGCACACCCGTGTCCACGATGTGCCTACCGGCCAGGCGCCCAGCGCGTAGGCAGACCCGCTGCACATCCGTGTCTACGATGTGCCTACCGGCCAGGCGCCCTGCGCGTACGCAGTGTTGCTACTACACACAGGCGTGCAGCTAGGCGTGCTCATGGAACTAGAATCGTCGCAACGACCAGCGCTGTCAGCGCGAGGCGGATGACACATCTTCTTGGTGTCCGCTCCGTTTAGCCCGCCGCACCAGGCCTCCGCTGGGGAGCGGAAGTCACGTCGCGAGACAAGGAGCAGAGGCCCTCAAGGCAGCCCCCCGAGCCCCTCCCCTTTTCGCCGTTTGTGCAAAGTGTGCCATGCAATAGCTGCCGTGACGCGCCGTGTGCCTCAAAGGAGGGAAGGGGTGGGGAGGTCACCGCCGTGAGCTTCGCACCACGAACGCGGCGCGCTCCGACATGCATGTCGTTTATTTGGCCACTGGAGGCAATAAGCGACGCCCTGCCCCTTCGGGGTCTGCAGCCTTACAGTCCGCGCGTGTGTGCAAACGTGTGTTTGTACGCAGGAATATGCGCGCAAGAGAACGTACAATTTAGGTATCCACACGCGGGAAAAATTAAATCAAATAGAATTGAAGCACATCTAAATTTTATAATTCTGCTGCTTATCACAATGTGTATTTTATTATAATAGGGCGGCAACATTTTCTGCCGGTTCTACCACAACCACCGTCAATTTATTTTTCTATTTTAAACACGAAAAAGTACACATATGTAGGCGGTGGCAGGAAGAACTGGTGCCATGGTAAGAACCCTAATCCAAAGAAAATCCGTCCCGACCCACAAACAGCCGGGAAAATGGAAAAGAAAAATCCTTGGTGTAGAGCGGGCTAGGAACGCGACACGGGGCGGTAGAGAAGCCCGCGAGGTCATGGCCGTGCGGGACCTGGGAGCAGCTTGGTAGAGCCCAGTGCGAGTGCGGCGGGCTGGAGGGAGCTCGGGCAAAGCGGTGGCGGTGGCTCTTCCTCCGTGGAAACAGGAGCAGACGAGTAAAAACCCTTTGAGGAAGGAAAGGGGGGGATGCAGGCCGTCTAACCTGTCGCCCCTGTCCTGGTTGCAAGGCTTTGTATGTTTATGAACTTCGAACGGAGTGCCACTGACAGAAATCACAGCCTTACAACCTCAGGCAAATAATCCAATATTACCGCATCACAGTGTGTGCTCATGCCCACAGAGACACAGTTAGCGATGAGAGGTAGCATTCAAACACACACTGTAAAAAGCTTACGGTGAATTTCACTGTAAGCTACGGTGACACCCTGCATCACCGTAGCTTACGGTGATATTCACCGTAGCCTACGGTGAAATTCACCGTAGCTTACGGTGAATTCACTGTAGCCTACGGTGAATTTCACCGTAAGCTACGGTGCTGCAGGGGGGCACCGTAGCTTACAGTGAAATTCACCGTAAGCTTTTTACAGTGCACACACACACACACACACACACACACACACACACACTCGCAGTCACCTCTTCTCAAACCGCTTACGAAGGACAACAAGCTGGCCAGAACAGATGCGCCTGCTAGTGGCTTCCCTGGAGGCCGTTCCTCGCTCCCACATCATGCCCCGCAGTGCTGTGTTTCCAATTCCCAATCCTGGGGCTGTAATGAGTGTACAGACGTTCCACTTGAGCCGTTGTTGTTAGTCGCAATAAAAGCGATTTCCTCCCCGACGCACTCAGCCACCGTGAGTTGGCTCTGCCCGGCTGGCTTCAGCCGTCTCTGGTAGGGCGTGGTCGGGCGAGGCAGTGTGAGAGTGTGCGCGCGCGGACTCGTTTTGTGAAGCGCGCAGCGCGGCAGGCGAGTTAACAGAGAGTGGCTCCCGGTTGGTCTGCCGTCCCGGGACCGTCCGGGACCGTCCGGGACCGTCCGGGGTCCCTCAAGGCCCTGGGGGCAAGCGGCAGCAGTTGCAATAGCAGACAGTGAGTGTGTGTGCTCCCACAGGTGAAAACGGCTGGCAAACATGCCCAACGCCCCCATCCCTTGCCCCCCTTCCTGCCACACACAGACACAGCTTCTGCAAATAATGCGATGGTCGGCAACGCTGGTCCTGGACCTGGTCGCTTTCCAAAGTACCAAACAACCGATTAGTGTGCAGTAGGGCCGTCACATATTGCGACAAAAGGCCACCTTGACCCACCCACGCGTCCCTCACCCGAGTTCGTCTTCAACACACACCTTCTGGGATGTCAGACCCAACGTAAAATAGCCGTTGCCGGAGGAAAACACAACCGCCTGAGCATTCTTTACCTTCCTTTGAGCAAGCACGAGTGGACGCCAACGAAAGCAAGAGAGAGGAGGGTGATACTTGAGAGCCACTCGAGCAGCGAGATAGCAACGGAAAGAGAAAGGGGCGTTTTGGTCCCACTTGCCTCGTTCTTTTGATTTCTGATATTATGGCCGCCATCCCATTGTTTCAGGCGCTATTGCCAGCACGTGGCGCGATCGCTGGACTAATTCGAAGTGGCACTGCAGCCTATTCCAATGCAAAGAATTGTATGAGGGCAGACCCTCTGGTAAATGTGCACATGGCTTGGGGAAAGTAAATGTAGTACTTCAGTCAGTCTCATATTAAAACAATGACTTTAATTTTCTTGACTCGGCCAATGGCCACCCCAACATTCAATAAATAATAATGAAAGCGTTGAGCGGCTGATATGTTGCATTGTCTACCACAGCCGCTGTTCCACCAGGAAGGGCAAAGGGGCAGCAGCGGGGAACGGCGGCGGGGAACGGCGACCTCAGACAAATAGTCCACGAGCGTGTCAGGCCGGCGTCCCGCCAACCCTTTTCAACCCCAGCGTGACAAAACCTCACGCTGTTGAGGGGGTTGAGGGAGCGAAAAGGAGGGAGAAAAGGGGAGGTACACGTGTGTACGGAACCCGGGGGAGGGGGCGGAGACGTCTCCAGAGGTAATTAAACGCAAACCAAATGAATCTCGCGCCGCGCACAGCACAGCAAGCCGGCAAACAAACAGAGCCACCATGTTTTTACAAGGTAATAAATAATTTTCTAGCAACAAGGGGCGGGTAGCGGGCGCTACCGCCGACCGGAAGCTACCCCATCCCCTTACCCCTTCCACAGCATGTGCGACTTCTCTTGAGCTGTAAGCTACTCACCTATGACGGTCAAGTTGACCTGGTAGTTGCGGCTGCGAGAGGTCTTGAAGTCCACCCTGCAACGGTAGATCGCCTCGTCTGAGAGCTGCACCCGGTCGATGGACAGCTCGGCTGTTCTGGGCACGCCGCCAGGCCCGCGGAGGGAAGGGCCGCCCTCGACCGCGTGCGCCGTCGAGAAATGCGCGCGCGGCCCGAGCCAAGCAGGATCCGACCACACCTGGGCCTCCTTGTACGGCCGGCCGCGGACGTCGAACCTGAAACACAGACCATCACTGTCAGGTGCGGCGCCGGAGAGGCGGGGAGGTCGGCCCGGGATAGCGCCAGGTCGATCAGGCGGCAACGGAGAGGAGGGAAAGGGGCTACGCAATTAAAGCCAGGGCTCCCTGTTGTGCTTCCCCATCGGTCGAGCTGGGTTGACACTTTCCCCCTCTGCCACCCACCCGTGCCCGGCCCGGCCCCGCCGGGCGGTAGACGTCCTCGCGTCCTATTTAGGCAGCTGAATCAGGGGCCCACCTGCGACACGGTCCGGAGCATACGCAGAGGCTCCAGCCAGCGCAAAGCCGCGGGCGTCAGCCCGAGAAGGGAGCACAGATTAATTAAAAAGCAAAAGCCAGGCTGCGTCGTTTCAACCTTCCTGATGTAAATCAAAGAGAATTTCGTACACTGCTCTTCCTGTGGAATACAATATGCTTCAATTCCCCGCAGAAACAACATGTAAGTGCATAATAAGCCTCTCGCCAGCCATGTAGAACAGCGTATCAGTGCCGCCTCCACCTCGTCACACCCTCCACGGTCCCCACTCCTCCTCAACGCCTTTCGTGCCGCACGCCTCGTTAGCTAGCCTCATCCTCACGTCGTAACGGACTGGATTGCATTTATCATCGACGAAAGCGCGACGTCGTCCATCAAGTACACGGCGCCACGCCTTGAGGAAAAGGGTGTTGGAACCCCCACCCCCCTTCTTGCTCTCTCCCCCCTTCACTCTTCTGGTTTCTCTTCTCTGCAGCAACAGCAGCAGCAGACTTTGCTCTCGGCAGGCGAGCAGAAGGTGATCCCAGTGAGAAAATACGAAAGGAAAAGGGTTCGTACAGCAGCAGGGGAACAATGCCAGCTGGGTGCAATGAAAAGCTTATCTTACGGTCCAGGCCGGCTGCGGCGGAAGGGGCGGCTGCTGGACGTCAAGTCATATTTCACTCACAACTTGAATTTCAACGCTTATCCCCCCACAGTGTCGGTCGGGTGAAAAGAGGGTGGGAAGGGGGGGACTTCCGCATCCTTCGTAAAAAGAAACATGATTCTCCTGGGATCGACAAACACCTCACTCACATGAGCCTACGTACAGAGGATGATTGGTGAAAGAAAGTTGGTTTCACTATGTAGGTTCACATATGCTTTGGCAATTTATCGATATGTAGAAAAGGGGGCCTTTCAAGTGAAAACAGTCATTTTAGAACGAGTTTTAGAATTTAATTCTGATGCTTCAGGTTCTTTAACATGTCATAAAACAGAGACAATTTTCAGGTTAAGGAGAAGTGAGACTTTAAATTAATCATGTTATGCGAATATCTTCAGGACAGCGGAAGTTAACGATGGTAACGACCAACAGATCTCTCCCTGCCCAGCCCAAAAGATACGAATATAGAAAAGGCAACCAACCGCTCCTTCTGCTTATATTATTGCATTCACTTTGATGGTGATTGTGTCCACAATTGGCTTCCCAAAGGACCACAGGGGGAAGTGCTGATGCTTACTAGACAGACCTCCATAAAAACAGCTCGCTGGGGCCAGGATATTGCGTTGTAAACAGGAAAAAATGCTAAATTCATCTTTCTTCGTATTCGTATACTTTTGTGGGGAGCTCCGTGGGAAGGGGAACAGCAAATGGGCCAAAGTAGTCGGGATATCGTTACTTTCCCAGCGGGGTGGGTCAACCCCGCGACCACAACACGGCGCAACACACAACGAATGAACCCAGGTGGGCTATGTGGATTCCCTGCCGCCACCGCCAGGCCACACCAGGGGATTGGGGACAGGCTGTATGTATGAGGTCGCCACGGGCCACGCCCCACTCCAAGACTGACCCACTGCACATTACATTTATGAGTATTGCGAATTATGTCCACAGCCATGAATAAAAGCAACTGCGTGTGCCCCCCCCCCCCCAAAAAAAAAAAAAAAACAGTCTCAAGTAAATCAAGTGGATTTATGCACGTTCATGGAACCAGTACAGAGAAAATTGATGTAAAAGTGTGAACTGTTGTAATTGTTTGAACTGTGTGTGAACCTGTGTGATGCCTTATCATAATACATCGAGCGTACGTATGAGGGCATGTAGAGTATACGGGGTGAGCTTGCTAATACACACGAGTACATAACGTAAGTGAATCACTAGGGTGCTACCACCTACCAGCACATTATGTTTATTCCGTCTTTAAAGTTATCAAGTTTCATTGGCAGCATACATGTAGTGCGGATCCAACATTTATTTCATCTATTTGATTGCAACCTGTCTCGACACGACGAGCAACACCTCGCCAAGGCCCTTATTTTCTTTTCCGAACAAAACTCTGCCAATGCCTCCCTTCTCGAGCCGAGCACGGTGCGGCGCCCTGCGATGGACAAAGAGGAATGTAATATACCGGCGTTCCTGCGCTCTGGCCTGGCTTTTCCCCAACGAGGCAGGCCTGCCATCTCCCCCGCCCCCTTGTTTTACAGTGGAATTGGCACTGGTCACTACAGGTGTAGTACACGCAGTGCCCCTGCTCCTTTCTCCGCCCACGCACGGAGTCAATAGGGCAGCACGTGCGGCACACAGGGGCGGCGATTCGATTTTTCGAAAAATACTGGAAGAAAATCAAACTTTTCGCCTAAAGGTGAGCGGTAAATAAAAGCGCACACTGTCAGCACAAAACACGCTGATTTACAGAAACACAAAATATCGAGAGAAGCTGCCGGGCGGAATGGAAGAGAAAACAGGAAAGGTTGAGGGGTTAAACGAAACGGAGGAGAGGGGAAAACGTGCGAGCGAAAGAGGGTAGAGGGCGAGAGATGGCAGAGAGAAAATGCTGCAGAGGTAGGAAAGAGGAGGTCTAATTAATGTGAAATAAACAACGCTCTTATTGCTTCGTCGGCGCGGAAACCAAGCTGCTATTTCCGGCCGGTAGCATGCCGTGCCTGCCCTGTGCATGCGCTGTGTACACGCTGACCCTGCTAGACTTTTATTCTCACCGGCGGCGAGGCCCCACGTCTACCATATTTCACACGATGGTACCTCTTACTGAGTTTGAAGATACTTCAATAAAAAACATGACTGCTAGGAAAAACCACGCGCGACGAACGGACGTTTCAAGGCAACTTTTTAAGTTATGAGGTGGCGAACATTTTAAGCTGCCAAATAAGTTGTAGCATGAATGCTTCAAAATCGACAACCTTTCAAACTTGTGTAAGGTACTAAGGGTCTTTAAAGGTACGATATATTTCTACAAAAAACGTCGTCGTTTTTGCTTTTTTAGAAGCCAGCATTTAAAATTTTAGTATCTCTGCCGCTACGAACAATAA